ACCAAGGTGAATGAAGAGTGTAGTCCAGCAGAGGCCATACCAGTGCAGACCAGTCCCCTGGAGCAGGCCTAAGGACAACTGAATCAGTGGCAGCAGTGGTGGTTTCCAGACATCTCAGCCCACAGACCCCAAAGACAGCTTAGAAGGTCAGTAGGAACTATTTGTTGTACCTGAGTGAGAGTAGAACACAGTCCAGGGCAGGCTGTGCCAGCACAGCCCTGTCCCCAGCAAACCAGGAGGAGGCATTGGGAGTGTCTGAATTGGCAGCAGGTGCTTCTGGAGCTCTCAGCCCACAGACAGTAAAGGGATCGAACAACTGCTCAGAAGGAGATTAGAGAGGTCTTTTTGCTAGCACTGAGGCAGGACTCTGTTGCTTTGTGCATACTTAGATCCAGGTCACAGTCCTGGGTGGCAGTCCCAGGGCAAGGAGGAGCTCTAGCATAGCAGAGCTTGCAGCAAGAGTGGAGGGGGGGAACCCTCTTCACTGTTCTAGGGAAGAAAAGAGTGCTTGTGGTTGTTCACAGACCAGAGCACAAACACCTCTCCTTAAATTATACCACCTTGGAAGAACTGAAAACTTACAGGTCCCTAGAAGTATCTTTGAAAACAAATGCACGAGACAGTGCATCCTCCACCCTGGAAGTGGAGCCTTTCTTTAACAAACAGTTAAAAGTCAAGTAATAGGCTAGGAAAGTGAGCAAACAACAGGAAAAAAAACAAACCTCACTATAGAAAGTTATAATGGTGACAAGGAAGATCAAAACACACTCAGAAGACAACAAAGTCAAGCTCCTACATCCCAAGACTCCAAGAAAAATATGAATTGGTCTCAGGCCATGGAAGAGCTCAAAAAAGGATTTGGAAAATCAAGTAAGAGAGGTAGAGGGAAAATTGGGAAGAGAAATGAGAGCAATGCAAGAAAATCATGAGAAAAGAGTCAACAGCTTGCCAAAGGAGACTCCAAAAAAGTAGACTAGGCCAAATGACAAAAGAGGTCCAAAAAGCCAAAGAAGAGAAGAATGCCTTAAAAAGCAGAATTGGCCAAATGGAAAAGGAGATACAAAAGCTCACTGAAGAAAATACTTCCTTAAAAATTAGAATGGGGGCAGGTAGGTGGCGCAGTGGATAGAGCACCAGCCCTGGATTCAGGAGGACCTGTGTTCAAATCCAGCATCAGACATGTAACACTTACTAGCTGTGTGACCCTGGGCAAGTCCCTTAACCCTGTTGCCTAGCAAAAACAAAAAATTAGAATGGAGAAAGGAAGCTAATGACTCTATGAGATATCAGAAATTATAAAACAGAACCCAAAGAATGAAAAAATAGAAGACAATGTGAAGTATCTCATTGGAAAAATAACTGACCTGGAAAAGAGATCCAGGAGAGATAATTTAAAAATTATTGGACTACATGAAAGCCATGATCAAAAAAAGAGCCTCGACATCATCTTTCAAGAAATTATCAAGGAAAATTGCCCTGATATTCTAGAACCGGGTTGTAAAGTAGAAATTAAAAGAATCCATCAATCACCTCCTGAAAGAGATCCCAGAAAGAAAACTCCCAGGAGTATTATAGCCAAATTCCAGAGTTCCCAGTTCAAGGAGAAAATATTGCAAGCATCCAGAAAGAAACAATTCAAGTATTATGGAGCCACAGTCAGGATAACACAATATTTAGCAGCTTCTATGTTAAAGGAGGGCTTAGAATATCATGTTCTGGAGGGCAAAAGAGTTAGGATTGCAACTAAGAATCAGCCTACCCAGCAAAACTGAGTACAATTGTTCAGGGGCAAAAATGGACATTCTTCAAGAAGATAGAGGACTTTCAAGCACTCTTGATGAAAAGACCAGAATAGAAATATTGACTGAATAGAAAATTTGACTTTCAAATACAAGTCTCAAGAGAAGCATAAAGAGGTAAACAGGAAAGGGAAATCATGAGGGACTTAATAAGGGTGTAACTCATAAGACTTTTCTCATTGTTAAGGTAGTTAAAAGGAGTATATATAGACAGAAGGCACAGGTGTGAGTTGAATGTGAAGGGATAGTATCTAAAAAATGAAATTAAGGGGTATGAGAGGGATACACTGGGAGAAAGAGAAAGGGAGAGGTAGAATGGGGTAAATTGTCTCACATAAAAGAGGCAAGAAAAAGCTTTTACAGTGGAGGGGAAGAGGAGGGAGTTGAGAGGGAGTGAGTGAACCTTACTCTCATCAGAATTGGCTCAAAGAGGCAAAAACATACACATTCAATTAGATATAGAAATGTGTCTTACCCTACAGGAAAGTAGGAGGGCAAGGGGATAAGAGAAGGGGGCCTGATAGAAGGGAGGGCAGACTAGGGGAGGGATAGTCAGAAGCAAAACACTTTTAAAGAGGTACAGGGTAAAGGAGAGAGAGAATAGAATAAATGGGGGTGGTGGGAATAGGATGGAGGGAAATACAGTTAGTAATAATTGTGAAAAGATTTTTGAAGCAAGTTTCTTTGAGAAAGGCTTCATTTCTCAAACATAGAGAACTGAGTCTAAAGTAAGAGCCATTCCCCAATTGATAAATGATCAAAAGATACTACTAGTTTTCAGATGGAGTAATCAAAGGTATCTGTAGGCATATGAAAAAATATTCTAACTCACTGTTGATTGGAGAAATGCAAATTAAAACAATTCTGATTGGCTAGTAGGACAGAAAAGGAAGATGACCAGTGTTGGAGAGGATATGGGAAAACCAGTGCATTGTTGGTGGAGTTGTGAACTTATTCAGCCATTCTGTGGAGCAGTTTGGAACTATGCCCAAAGGGCTATAAAACCAGGTGTACCCTTTGACCTAGCAATACCATTCCTAGGTCTGTATCTCAAAAGAGATAAGAAACAAAAAGGAAAAGGACCTATATGTACAAAAATATTTATAGCAATTTTTTTCTGGGGGTAAAGGATTAGAAATTGAGGGGATGCCCATCAATTGGGGAGTGGCTGAACAAATTGTGGTATGTGATTATGATGGAATACTATTGCACTATAAGAAATGATGAGCAGGATGCTCTCAGAAAAACCTGGAAAGACTTGCATGGGCTGATGCAAAGTGAACTGTACTATGTACAAAGTAACAGCAATATTGTAAGATGATCAGTTTTGAATGACTTATCATTCTCAGCAATACAAAGATCCAAGACAACTGAAGGATTTAGGATGAAAAATGCTGTCCATCCCCAGAAAAAGAATTCATGGTGTCTCAATACAGATTGAAGCACACTTTTAAAAATTTATTTTATTTTTCTTGAGTCTTTTTGTCTGTTTTCTTTCATAAGATGACTATTATGGATATGTTTTGCATGACTACACTTGTATAACCTATATTGAATTGCTTGCCCTTTCAATGGAGGGAGGGGAGGAAGGAAAAGAATTTGGAACTCAAAATTTAACAAACAAATGTTAAAAATTGTTTTTACATGTAACTGGGGAAAAATCAAATACCAAATACAAAAAAAAGGATTATAATAAACCAGCTGGTATTGACCCAAAAAATGTATAAGGCTCAATATATTTGTTTAAAAATTAGTGTATTCTTAAAGCAGGAGTCACAATCTTTTAGTAACAAAGAGCTATGTTATTTTTCTGAATGGGATTAATGGTAAGGTGGTAATGACAATTGAAGTTATTGAGCAAGAATGTGCCAGTTCAGTGGAGCCAGAGAGAATACTACAGTTGACTGTACTGCCTGTTAAAAATCCTGAAAATTTTCCCTGGACCCATAGATAAGAGTTTCTGGCATTTCCCTTTGTCTTTTTTCAATTCATTTTGAGGGACATTTGTATTTCTACCACATACAAGATACTTGCTAGCTCTGAGAAAAACAAATGCCCTCAAGGAATTTATAATCTAATATGAATAAATACAAGTATGATACAAAGCAGAATGTGATAGAAGCAAGAGAACTAGACAAAATATTAATGAGAATTTGAGAAAGAAATCACTTTAATCTGTCATCTTTTCCTCTTATTTTCAAAAGCAGCCACTTTGCTCCCAGTACTCTTAATATCCCATTTGCAGGTGCATTCCCCGGTCTATGAGAAATAGGAGTCTTAGGAAGCTTTGAGTACCTTTAGTGCATTTAACATTTTGATGCCAATTTAAATGCTCCATAGCATTGTCTCCCTCCTCTCTCTCAACTATTCATTTATGTCCACCAGTTCCCAAGGCTTTTACTTAGCTCATTGTAAGAAGAGTTGGAATAGTTGTTTCCCTATTATAATCATTCAAGGCATCAGTGTAGTTTCCTATTTCTGCTTTATCCCTATTAAATGGTCCTAATATGTTGTTTTCCTGGGTCACAGGACAAGTACCTGAGGCAACAGAAGCAGAGAAGCGTGGAAAAGGCAGTTGATAGAATCAATCTGTATCTGTAAAAACAGACTGCCTTTTAGTTTAATCTTACTTTATTCTTATGCATTATAATTTATTTAACTCACAAAGGCTAGGCATCCATTAAAGAAAATGTTCTGTTTAAAATAGGGTCTTGATGCTTGCTCCCTTTTGAAGTGATGGACTACAGGAGCAGCCTAGTCATACTCTGTCAGCCTTGTCTGCTGTATTGGACAGTTTTGCCTAACTTGATTTTGGTAAGGGAAGTATATTCCTTCCTAGGAAGGAAGCAGTTAATAATGGAAAGTAAATGTTGAAAAAAAGAGACTGCATCACTAAAGCTTTTTTTAATTGTATTTCAAGGAGTAGGACTTGGGGGCCTTTGTACTATTTCCATGTAATTAAAATGGCAAATCAAAATATGTCTGGAGTGTATTTTGAAGATTTATGCTTTAAGACTAATTACCATTATATGTTTTTAATTAAAATTTTTCAATATAAGTATAAGATATTTGTCAAAGGGCACTATAAGAACTAGGAAATGGTCCTTGGATGAAAAAGGTAACAAACAACTAGCTATTCCTATATAAGATGGTAACATAGCCCCATTCATTTTTGAACTTAGTACATTAAATGATAAACAGGGTACCCTGCAAAACCTGACAGCTATGTGTGGAGGCAGGTCCAGTTCTTCAAGAGGAGGGAAACCAAGAAACAAGGAGGAAGAGGTATGCTTCCTGCATGTTCGCTACCTCCATCACTTAGCTACACTTTGAGTTTATTGACATCTTTTCCTGCATGGTTTAACAAGTGTTGGAGGCTTTTTAAGTGTATAGGGAATATTAAAATATTCAGGCTGACATATTCCATAATTATACTTTATAATAACTATATCACTCATGATTTTTTTGCTTTCAACAAAAGGAAGAACCCTGAAATTTTTTTTTTCTGTTTCTCACCCAGGCAATATTTAATAAAATTACTTTCAGAGGAAGTCTGCTGAATTGCATTTTTAAAGTGACTGCTAATTTTGCACTCCCATTAACCCTTCCCAAATAATCTTTTGCTTTCTCTCTGTTCTTCTGTTCTTCAAATTAAACATTTGCTCCACTTTCTTTTATTATAATTCTCTCAACCAAAATATGTTGTTTGTTTTCCCCTAAATGAAAATTTTGAATTTTTTTTTATAGGAGTACTTGGCAAGATTAAGGCAAATAAGACTTCAAAACTTCAATGAACGCCAACAAATTAGAGCCAAACTTCGTGGTGAAAAGGCAGGTTGAAGAGTATTATTTTCCTTTTCTTTCAATAATTGAGAAGATATTGTAGGTAAAGGACAAGGGAAACTTTTACGGAACTCTTTCAAAAATAAGACCTGACATAAGACAGAGTGAAACTGGTAGAGCAGATTCCTAGGCACAAGATTTAAGAAGTGGATCAATTTTATAAATAGTAATGAAGATTGAAATTTATGCTCATTCCCCGCCCCCCAGGAATTTTGAGAGAAAATTAGATCGGATTCTTGAATAAGGAGAAAAAACTTTTTTTTCCTTTTTTCTCATTTTACTGTTTTTTGGCCATATTTATAAGAAGGCCAGCACACGAAATGTAATACCATTCTTGATAAGTTAATTAAGACAGAAAAACAGCATTGGAATGCCTTCCAATTTTATACTCTTGGTTGTCTATCACACTTAGCACTTCTCAGAATCCATGTACTAATCAGAAAGATGTGTCTTTGCTGGCTTTCTTGTTCATATGCTAATTTATTTTGTAGAATGATCCTGATGGCTTCAAAGGACAAGAAGGGAATGAAGAAATAGAAATTAGACGCAAAAGAATAGAAATACTAAAGGTATTAAACTTGAAGTGATTAACAGTTGCCAAAGAATCCAAATGAAATGTAGGAATTGAGATATGAAATCTAGTTTTCTGGCCCTGTGCCCTTCACCAATTAAAGAGCATGACCTACCTATTCTTGCTTTTTCTTTCTTTTTTTAAAAATTAATTTTTGTTATCTTTTGTTTCGACATCATCGACATATTTCTCTGTATCCCTTCTTCTACCTTCTCCCAGAGAGGATGAATGGGGGGGGGTGTCGGGGGAAGTCCCACAGAACTAATCAACACATTAATGTCTGATGTTTTATGTGCAGTGTTCCAATGTGCATGTTAAAAAGTGTCTTCTCATATCTGTCAGGAGTCTGCTTTAATGATTATAATTTTGGAACTTTCAGCTTTGGAGATTTTGTTGTTGCTGTTTCCATTTACATTGTTGTAGTCATTGTGTATATTGTTTTCCTAGTTTAGAAAAACAGTTCTGGAAGCTGGTGGCACAGTGGATAGACCACAGGATCTGAAGTCAGGTAGCCCTCTGAGTTCAGATCTGGCTTTCAGACATGGATTAGCCATATGATCTTTGGCAAGTTACTTAGTCTCTGTCTGCCTCAGTTTCCTCAAGTGTAACATGAAGTAAATAATAACATCTACTCCACAGGGTTGTTGTGAGGATCAAATGAGATAATATTTATAAAAAAACACTTAGCACACTGCCTGGCACATAGTAGGCACTACATAAATACTTATTCTCTCCCTTCCCCTTCCTTCTTCTTTTTTCACTTTGTATCAGTTTATATAAGTCTTTACATGCTTCTCTATAGTCATTATTTCTTACAGCACAGAAATATATTATTATCTGCATGTACCACAGTTTGTTGTCATTCCCCAGTCAATGGTCATTACTTTATTTCAGTTCTTTGCTACCACAAAAAGTTCTTCTATAAAGACTTTCGTGTAGATGGGGATTTTCTTTGGTGATTGACTTCCTTAAGATGTATGCCTAGACATAGGATCTCTGGGTCAAAGGGCACGGTCATTTTCATAAATCTTTAGCTTGTGTGAGTTGAGCTTTCTTGTGTGGCTCTAGCTTATTCATTTCTGTTCATTTTCAGGCCCAGGCAAACACTCGAGCTGTTGTATTGAAAGAACAACTTGAACGAAAGAGAAAGGAAGCATATGAGAGAGAGAAGCGAGCTTGGGAAGAACATGTAAAAATTTTCTGATTCTTACATGATCCATGCTAATAGGCTAGTGTCCCCCCACCCTTATAGAATGTATCCAATCATGAATGTCTATGCCTCAAATTTGAAAATTATGAAGACTATCCCCCTGCCACTGTGCACCCTCTCTGTAATGTGGATCAATCCACAAATAACAGGATTGTTTGAGAACACTTAGAATGTTAGTATTTCAATGCTGGCCACATAGTTGGTGCTCAGTAAATACTGATTAAGTGTTGATTCAGTTCATCACTGGAAAGAGTAGAGAAATGATGAGGGAATCACAATTATAATCATGTCTCTGTCACTGTGTATATTATTTGACTAAATCACTTAATCTTGTGAGATTCAGGTTCCTCATTTGCAAAGTGATAGGATTGGGTGAGGTAAATGCTAGTCTGTTTCACCTCGAAAATTCTATGAGTATCCAACTTAGAATAGAACATAAATCTCAAATATTATTTTGAGTCAGTATAATCTGGTAAATGATGTCAAATTCTTTCACTAAGCCTCAGTTTTATTAGAAAACACCATGTTAGAGGAATGTCTGAATAGGCAAAACATATTTTAGATCTTTATTTATCATCATATATATTTGATTATCACTGTTATAATGGATATAGATCAAGTTTTACCCTGTTACACTTTGACTGTCTATATCTACCTAGTTTACCAGTATTTTACATGTTTATATACAAATTTATAAAACTGACACTTTTTTTTTTTTTTTCTTGCAGAAATAAGAGTAGTAAGACCTGGAAAAATTTTTCATATCAGGTCACATTTTAATAGCTTTGGAGTATTTCCCCTCATAAAATGTACTTACTATATTTTAGAATTTAAATGCAGTATAGTGAAAAAATAATATTTGATAAGTATTATTACTTGGATAACTTTTTTTTATTCAGACCTGTGATTTCATTGGTGTAGGAAACTCTTGGTGAGGAAACTCCTTTTACTAGGGCAGATCAGCATCTAGTTTGATCGTTGTTTGAACGCTTATAGACTAATTAACTTGCCTGGGGTCATCCAGTCCATATGTATCAGCATTTGGACTTGAACACAGATCTTCCTCTCTCTGAATCCACCTTTCTCTACACTGTGCCATGTTGCCCCTCACTTAGACAAAGAGCAATTCAGAATTTTAAGAAATTACTGTGAATTCAATAAAATTTGATTCTAGCTCCTTTAGGGTATGTCAAGTCATCTGTGAAATTCCTTTTGATCCTTTTAGTATGGTGAGAGCATGCTATTTGGTAATATTTATCTCAACCTAGATTGCATCTTTAATAATCAAATGTATTTAAGATATAATTTCTTTTGCATTTTGCTTAAACTTTCAATATCTAGTTTTCTGGTTGGCATTGTGAAATAACATAAAATGTCATTTGGTGGTATTGCAGATTAACATTTTTTTTAAGTTAAATATTTTGTGTTTTGTGGACATCTTACACATTTATGAACCTCAGAGACTAGTGACTGATAAGGATCTAGTGGACCTACATATACTTTTTGCCCAAATTCCATAATGAAATCTTCAGTCTTTGGGTCTGCTTTGTCTTTTTTTCCTTTTTTTTTTTTTTAATTAAGAGAACTCAAGAATTATTCTTACATATAAATGCATTTATAGGAGTAAAGGAATTAGTTGCCACTTTTATATAGATTGTACATGTTTAGTTATACAGAACATATTTCCATATTGCCAAAAAAAAAACACAGGACACCCCCCCAACACACACACACACACACACACACACACACACACACAAAAGAAGAAGAAGAAAGAATAAAAAAAATGTTTCAATCTGCGTTCAGACTCCATCATTTCTTTGTCTGGAGATAGATAGCATTTTTCACTTCAGACTTGACTTGAATCATTGTATTGCTCAGAATAGCTAAGTTACTCACAGTTGATCATCATACAATAATACTGTTGCTGTGTATGATGTTCTCCTGGTTCTGCTCATTTCATTTCGCCTCAGGTTTTTCTGAAAGCATCCTGCTAATCATTTCTTATAGCACAATAGTAAATTTCATCACAATTATATACCACAACTTGTTTAGCTCGATGGAATGTCATGTTTGAGGAACAGCAAAGAGGTCAGTGTCACTGATGTGGATGTGGAGGGGAGTGAGATGTAAGAACACTAGAAAGGTTGGAAGGGGCCAGGTTCTGAAGCCGTTTTAAGACACAAACAAGACTTTATATTTGATCCTGGAGATAATAGGGAGCCAGTGGAGTTTACTGAAAGGAGTGTGACCTAGCCAAATCTGCACTTTAGGAATATCAGTTTGATAACTGAGTGAAGTCTGAATTGAAGTGGGGAAAGACATGAGGCATAGAGACCAATCAACAGGCTGGTAACAATAGGTGTATACTAGGCTGGTTACACTGTCTGGAGGAGAAAAAGAGAGCATGTGGCTGTGTGGGTATATGACTGGGAGGATGGTGGTACCCTTAACAATAACAGGGAAGTAAGGAAAAAGGGAAGGTTTGAAGGGACATATAATTTATAAGTTCTGCTTTGAACTTAAGTTTTAAGATGTCTATACTTGATTAAAATTTGTACATTTTGCAAGAGATGAGTTTGGGTTTGGCTAATGGTTATTCTTTTTACATCACTGCTAAATTATCCAACAACAAAAAAAGTCAATTCTTTACAAGATAAGTATTTATATGTATAAATATCTGAGATGGAAAAAATATAAGTAAAAATTATTTATGGAATTATGGTTTCAATATTATAGATAAATGTTTTTTCATGGGGCAACTAAGTGATACACTAGATAGAGTGCGGAGCCTGGAGTCCAGAAGAGCTGAGTTCCAATCAGGCCTTGGAGATGTAGCTGTTTGACCCTTAGCAAATTGCTTAACCTTTGTTTGCTTCAATTTCCTTATCTGGAAAATGGGGATGATAATAATAGTACCTGCCTGCCAGAGTTGTGAGGCTCAATTGAGATAATGATTGTGCATAGCCCCTGACATATAGTAAGTGTTACATAAATGTTAGCTATTATTGTTGTTATTATTAGTTACGCTGTTTATATACTTGAATTTCAGGATAAAACAGATACCTGAAGATGCCAAATTGTTTGCTTAGTGAGCTTGAAAATATATATGTAGCCCAGCCCCAGAAAGTATCATTATTTTTCTTTCTCTGTAACTATTGATATTTCTATTTTAAATGCTATTTCAAAAATATCCTGGAAACCGCAAATGAATTTATTTTGAGGAGTATGATTGATGGAATAATTTTTATATAGAACTTACTGATTTGAAATAAAAGAAAAATTAGTGTTAGATTTATACGTTCTGATCTCTTCATTGCTTTATTTTACAAAAAATAAGATATTACACAATTTGAGAAAAAAATTTTCCTCAGATATATAAACACATGAATATGTTAAAAAAAAAAAGCAGTTTTTTTTTCTCTACAAATTTAAAATTTCCATCTATAAATCCTTTTTTTACAGCTGGTAGCTAAAGGCATAAAAATTGGTAATATACCTTCCAGTGAGAGAGCAGCAGCACTTGGTCATTTCCAGGAACAGCATGAACCGGGCAGCCCTCCTTCCCAGGTACAGGTGAAGCCTAATATACCAGTCATCTCCATCACATCAGCTTTGAAAGAAGTGGGTGTGGTAAGTTCTTAGAAATTTTGAACTAAGAGAAAATGTGCATGAAAATGATCTGATATTTTACAAGCAAAATGTTAAGTGAATCAATTGTCAATTCCTCATACTTGAACTAGTTCTTTAAGGGAAGCAAAAGAATTGTTTCTTCATAAGAACGTTGAGGTTTTTTTTGCAATTGATACTTCATACACTGGAATCTCACTCTACTTAGATGTCAGGCCTGGGATTGTGTTTTAAGTGAGACTTCTTTGTAAATGTCCTTTATTTTTAGCGACCTTTTTCTCATTTCTCCCCTTAATGGGGTGGTACCCTAGCACTTTTGGGGGGGGGGGTCCTCTACTTTTTCTAAACTCTTTTTGTTTAGCTTCTCATCTTTGTCTCATAGGCTTGCAAACTTCCAAAACACAGACTCAGTTCAAGGACTGCCTTCTTCATAATACCTCTCCTTATCCTCCCTAATTGCCTGTGTTCTCTCTGTAACTACCTTGTGTTTATTTCTATTCATTTACTTTGTTATTAATATTAACATGCATTTATTAAATGCTTACTAACTTCAGGCACTATGCTAAGTGTACAACTATGTACGTACAAGATATAAATAATGTAAAAAGGCAGTGATCACAGAGGGAAGGCATTGGCATTGGGAGAGGGGAAGGAGTAAAATGGGTGGGGGGAGGGGATGTAGATCAAGAAAAGACTTTCTGCAGAAGGTGGGACTGAAGCAAAGTCTTGAGGGAAGCCAAAAGGCAGAGATGCGGAGGGAGAGCTAGGCATGGGGGACAGCTAGTGAAAAGGCATGGAGTCAGGAGATAGCATATCATATTTGAGGAACAGGAAGAAAGCCAATGTCATTGGATTACAGAGTATGAGAAGGGGAGAAATGTGTAGGAAGGGATCAGGTTGTAAAACATTTTAAAAGCCAAACAGGATTTTAAAATATATCCTGGAGGTAATAGAGAGCCAGGGGAGTTTATTGAGTTAGGAGGGCTGACAAGGTCAGAGCTGGGAGAAACTTGAAGCAGGAAGACCATCTAGCAAGCTGTTGCAATTGTCCAGGCATAACATGATGGGCCCTGCACTAGGGGGTATGTCTGTATTTTCTCTGTTGTTAGAATGTAAGCTCCTTGAAATCAGGGATTGTTTTCTTTTTTTCTTTTCTTTTCTTTTTGTCATTGTATCTCCAGCACCTTCTTCAATTACTGGCAAAAGTAGGAACTTAATAAGTATTCGTCACTTGTTCTTTATCCTTTATTTAGTTATGCCCCTGATAGAACCTAAGATACTTGAAGGATGGAACAAACTTATATTTGTATTTGTATCCCCAGTTCCCAGCACGATAGTGGATGCTTAATAAAAACTTTTTGATTGATTGGTTTCAGTAATTATCAGTCAGAGAATCCAAGATGGACCACCTTTATACTAAATTCTTTGTATAGCTAACAATGTTATAATAATAGGAAGGTCGTATAGTGGATAGAGCCCTAGGCCTAAAGTCAGGAAGACCTGAATTCAACTATGGCCTCAAGTTAGTAAATACTGTGACCCTATATGACAACTCCTGTCTGTCTCAGTTTCCTCAACTGTAATAACAACATCTACCTCACAGTGTTGTTGTGAGAATCATGTGTGATAACATTTGTGAAACATTTAGTATAGTGCCTGACACATAGTAGACAATAAATGCTTATTCTCTTTCCCTTCCCTAATGAAGTTCCACTGTAATTAAAGCTTGCTTTATTTTAACTTCCTTTATTAACTTTCTTATTGGTCTGATTCTTATATTGATTTTTTAATTGGCCATATCCGTATGTGGATGCAAATGCAGAAATAAAAGCATATTAACTAGAAATAAGATGTACTAGTGAAAGTTAAACTACCAAATTATGTGTTTTGTCCCATTATACATCTGTATGATATTTTTGTTTGTTTTTAACATTTTTAAATGTTTTTTGTTTTAAATGGTTTTCACTGTCATTTGTTTGCACCCTTTCTGGATATTTCCAAACTCACCACACCCCAGAATTTACCTTTCCATTGTTAAGCAAAAACAGCCACTTCAGTGACCATATCTAATAATGTATGCAATTTTCAACCCTTTTAATTCTCTGCATTCTATACCAAGAACAGGGGTATATGTTACATTATCAGTTTCCAGGGACCAAGGTTGGTTATTACAATTACTCAGAGCTCACCTTCCTTTTAATCTTTTCATTTACATTGCTTTGTCATTATGTATTTTTTCTAGTCCTCCCTTATTTCATTCTTGTGTCATTAAACTCTCATAAGCCAGAAATGAGACTGTGAAAAATAAATGTGGACTGAGCCAAAAGTTTATATTTGGAAATATTAGTACAGCTGCCTAGGATGACAATTTACATAGATCCTAATTCTCAATTAAAGAGAAAATTGTAGTGACTGTCTTTTATGTGCTACCGTCTCAAGAGTTTAAATCTTGAAAACAGATGTGAAATAATTTGTACCCCAATATCCTGAAACTGTATTCAAATTAATTTTCTCTTTCCCCTGCACCCTCACCAGTCAATGTCATTTAGGTCTTTTGTTTGTCTGAATGTAAACTCTCATTTTCTATGTTTGCTTTTGTTTTTGAAACAGAAAGCAGGCTCCCCAACTCACAACTGTATGATAATACAGGACATAGAAAACATCAATAAATTCAAATATTGTTTAAAAAACAAACTCATCTTCAACTTACGTTGAATCACTTCACCTACTAAATCTTTAATAAGACTTGTTAACAGAGAAACTTGAATTATGTTCATTTCATTTCATTGCCCTTTCTCTGGTGGACTTGAAAGTAAGAATTGTTTAATTTCTTAAATTTGTATCTCCAGTGCTTAGCACATTTTCTAACACATAATAAATGCTTGTTGATTGATCAATCAATCCATGATAGTTGATGTGACATATCAGTGTTTAGCTCAGGTGACTTTACTAAGTAATTTGTACATTCTCTCTCTTTATGTTGCACTGTTGATACATGGTCAGTAACATGGTTGACTATGCAAATGTAAAGTTTTTGACCATTCATTGAGAATTTCGTAAAAGAAGCAATTACTCCTCTAGAAACATTTTTTTCTCTCTAATAACTTAGTTTTTTTTTTCTGCAATAAATTTCTTTTGCACCTACTACACTGTTTATTCCAACTTTAGATACCATTGGGTGCATCCTAGATGGTACCCAGACATATATGTTCTCATCCAGCTGGTCATCTCTCTGGTTATAGTGACTGCTAATTCCTGACTACTTTTACTGGGTAAAACGTTCTTTGTCTCATTTACTTCTAATACTGCTAACCTGACTAGTCTTATGTCCTTTTATTTCCTCAAGTGGTATAAAATTTGAAGTAATACTTATTGCCAAATAGTTTTTCTTTCTGTACTGACATTAGTAAACATTTCTTAATTCCTACTTTGAAAACTTTCTGAGTCTTGAAGCTTTTGCCTTTGTATCTTTTTGTAATTACTAACTACTTTTTCTGGATTTCCTTATAAATTCTATAGTAGGGGTGGGGAGCCTGCAGCCTCGAGGTCACATGTGGCCCTCTATGTCCTCAGGTGTGGCATTTTGATTGAATCCAAATTTTACCAAACAAATGTTTGGATTTAGTCAAAGGACCACACTTGAGGACCTAGAGGGCCACATATGGCTTTAAGGCCACAGGTTCCCTAACCCTGCTCTAGAGGCTCAGATTTCTGTGAATTGGCTAATCAAAAGAAAAATTTCATATTTGCTATCTTCCAAACAAATAACTCAGTTCTCATTTTCCATGTTTGCTTTTGTTTTTGAAATAGAAAGCAGTCTACCCAACTCACAACTGTATGATAATATAGGACAGAGAAAACCAATAAATTCAAATACTGTTTAAAGAAACAAGCTTATTTTTGACTTATATTGAGTCACTTCACCTACCAAATCTTTGGTGAGACTTGTTGATAGAGAAACTCGAATTATGTTTATTTCTTTTTATTGCCCTTTCTTTTGGTGGAGTTGAAATAGCCCTTTTTCCCTTTCCCCTCTGCCCCCTAAAAGAGATAATAGTTATAAAAGATATAGATTAATCCACATATTTGATCAAATAGTTGAGAATTGGTCTGTAGACTTTATATTGAGTTTATTATTTGAGTGACTTTGAAATGTTTTTTAATGTATTTAAAGGAAATTAAACTTTGCAGAAATAAAAGAATTAATGTGGATTGATTCATAATGGAGGGAAGGGGAATGATAAAAGAGTAACAGATTTTTTAAGGAAGAATTTTTTTCTGACATGTCTCATCCTGTATCTTTCTGATTTTAAAGAACAGAAGTTTAATTGACATTCAGGAAACTTCTGAAGAAATGAAAATGACTGATAATGCTCTTTCAGTAAGTAAAATTTTTTTAGCTTTCTCTCTTCACCCTTTCTTTTAGTTTATATAAATATTTCAAAATATAAGACTATTACAATTGCAGAATAAACGAGAGATACTGCGTAGACTAAATCAAAACCTCAAGGCTCACAAAGAGGAAGAAGAAAAGACACAAACCTCTGAAATTTGTGAAATAACTGTGAATGAAGACATTAAGGATCATCAGGAAGAAAAATCTGTATCATCAGAACGTAAGAAATGGGAGCCAGGAAGTCAACTGGAAATTCCTCTAGCCAAATTAACAATGGAAGAGACCTTTCCTACAGGTGAGAATAATTATAAAAATATTGGAAATTATCTCATTTTCAAAGCAAAGCAGTTACTTTATGTTATTTATGCTAAATGATACCAAGGGAAATGTGCATTTATTGAAATTAAAAGCAAATGTTCCTCTTTTAATTAATGTACATTTTTGTGCCCATAAAGAACCAAATCAGGGAGGGAAATTTTCTTTTTTTTTTTTAATTTAATCTTTTTCCTCCAATTACATGTAAAAACAATTTTTAACTTTAATTCATTTTTTTTTAATTTTTGAGTTCCAAATTCTATCCCTCCCCTTTCCCATCAAAGTGAGAATGCAAGCAATTTGCTATAGGTTATTTATGTTCAATGATGCAAAACCTGTTTCCATGTTGGTCATGTTGCAAAAGAAAACAGACCAAAAAAAAAACAAAACCAAAAACAAGAAAAATGAAGAAAGTAAAGAAAAGTGTGTTTCAATCTGCATTCAGACTCCATCATTTCTTTCTCTGGAGATAGATAGCATTTTTTCACCATAAATCCTTCAGAATTGCCTTGGATCATTATATTGCTGAGAATAGCTAAGTCATTCATAGTTAAACATCATACAATATTGCTGTTGCTATATACAATGCTCATTTCACTTTGCATCAGTTCATGTAAGTCCAGGTTTTTCTGAGAGCATCTTGCTCATCATTTCTTATGGCATAATTATATTCCATCACAATTATATACCACAACTTGTTCTAGTCATTCCCCAATTTGGCGGGGGGGGGGGGGGCTAGGTAATGGGGTTAAGTCATTTGCCCAGGGTCCCACAGCTAGGAAGTGTGAAGGGTCTGAGGCCAGATATGAACTCAGGTCCTCCTGACTCTAGGGCCAGTGCTCTATCCACACCTGGCCACCCCTGTTTTTTATTTTTTTGGATTACAGACCTAGTAATGGTATTACTTGGTCAAAGAGTATGCATGGTTTTGTAGCTCTTTGGGCATAGTTCCAAATTGTCCTGTTGAGGTCTGAGAGATATAGAGACCCCTCAAATACCAGAGTATAGGACAGGGTCATCTGGAATGAATTCATAGACTCAAGCATTCTTTAAGTCAAGGTGGCAAAGATTTATTGTTAGGCTATACAGCGGGCAGAGATCCTTAAGGAATTCCGCCATGGTAGGCAGACCTCCTTGGGAAACTTGCAACCTAACAGGAATGATGCTAAAGCTTATATAGGAAAAGTAGTGAATTATGTGCCAAGTATGCTAATTAGGTGATAACATACAACCACATCATTCACTACTGGAAACTGGGAAAGGGTTTCCCTAAGTGGGGAGGTGTTTTTGATCTGTTATGTCTGAAACAAGATAGCTTCAGGAATTGACATCTATAGCTTGACCTCTGGATTGTGTACGGCGAGTGTGGGCATGAGTACTTGATAGTTCTACTGGTACAAGATAGTCCTGTTCATACAAGGGAAATTCTACAGAGGTCAGCTTGTTCTTGTAACAGGGCTGAGATAGTTTTTGCCTCACTGGGCTGACTCATGAGCCCCTGCCAGATTTAGGGTCCTTGGACTGGAGGGAAACTGTCAGGGATAGTGTTTTTGAGGCTAGGGAGAAATTGGAGTCCAAGCACAGGCACCCAAGCACCCCATCAGTCCTACAGAATGGTTGAATTGGCATACCACTTCACCAAAAATGCATTGGTGTCTCAATTTTCCCATATCCCCTCCAAAATTTGTCATTTTCCTTTTCCAATCTGATAGGTGTGGGGTCATAACTCATAGTTGTTTTAATTTGAATTTCTTTAATGAATAGTGAGTTAGAGCACTTTTTCATGTGACTGTAGATAGTTTTGATTCTTTTGTCTGAAAACTGCCTGTTCACAATCTTTGACCATTTATTATTTGAGAAATGGCTCTTATTTCTATAAATTTGACTCAGTTTTCTATGTATTCAAGAAATTAGGCCTTTATAAGGGAAACTAGCTGTAAAAATTTTTTTCACAGTTATGATTACTATGTATTTCCTTCTACCCTGTTTTCCCCGTTTATCCTACCCTCTCTCTCCTTTTACCCTGTCTGTTCTCAGAAGTGCTTTGTTTCTGACTTCTACCTCCCTTTATCTTCCCTCCCTTCTCTTATCTCCTTCCTCTCCTGCTTTCTTGTATGGTAAAATAGGTTTGTATTCCCAACTGAGGGTGTATTTTACTGCCATTTTGAGCCAGTTCTGATGTGAGTAAGATTCATTTACTCCCCCCCCCACCTCTACTGTTTTCCTCTCCACTGTAAAAGCCCTTTAGTGCCTTTTTTATGTCAGATAATTTACTCCATTCTACTTCTCCCTTTCCCTTTCTCCCAGTGCATTCCTCTTTCTCACCCCTTTATTTTTTAAAATAATTTTCCATCATAATCAACTCACACCCTTGCACTCTGTCCAATATATGCTTCTTCTAACTGCTCTAATAATGAGAAAGTTTTTAGGAGTTACAAGTATAATTTTCCCATGTAGGAATGTAAGGAGTTTAACCTTATTGAATCTCTTATGATTTCTCTTTCCTGTTTACCTTTTTGTGTTTCTCTTGAGTCTTGTATTTGAAAGTCAAATTTCTATTCAGCTCTGGTCTTTTCATCAGGAATGCTTGAAAGTTCTCTATTTTATTGAATGTTCGTTTTTTCCCCCTGGAAGGTTTATACTCAGTTTTGCTAAGTAGGTGATTCTTGGTTGTAAACCTAGCTCTTTTGCCCTCCAGAATATCATATTTAAGCCCTCCAATCCTTTAATGTAGAAACTCCTAAATCTTGTGTTATCCTGACTATGGCTTCACAGTATTTGAATTGTTTCATTTTGGCTGATTGCAATATTTTCTCCTTAACCTGAAAGCTCTGGAATTTGACTGAAATATTCCTGGCAGTTTTCTTTTTGGGGTCTCTTTCAGGAGGTGATCAGTGGATTTTTTCGATTTCTATTTTACCCTCTGGTTCTAGAATAGCAGGATAGTTTTCCTTGATAATTTCGTGAAAGATGATGCCCAGGCTCTTTTTCTGGTCATGACTTTCAGGTAGTCCAATTATTTTTAAATTGTCTCTCCTGGATCTATTTTCCAGGTCAGTTCTTTTTCCAGTCAGATATTTCACATTTTCTTCTATTTTTTCATTCTTTTGATTTTGTTTTATTGTTTCTTGATGTCTCATAAAGTCATTAGCTTCTACTTGCCCAATTCTAATTTTTAAGGAATTATTTTCCTTTTTTTAAATAACAAATTTATTTATTTTTAGTTTTCAACATCCACTAAGATTTTGAGTTCCAAATTTTCTCCCCATCTCTCCTGTGTCCGCCCCCCCCAAGACAGTGTACAGTTTGACATAGGCTCTAAATGTACATTCATATTGAATCTATTTTCATATTAGTCATATTGTAAAGAAGAATTTGAACCAATGGGAAAAACTATGAGAAAGAAGAAACAAACAGAAAAAGAGAGAGAGGAGGCAAATAATATCCTTTAATCTTCATTCAGACTCCATAGTTCTTTTCTGGATGCGGACAGCATTTTCCATCATGAGTCCTTCGGAGTTGTCTTGGATCCTTGCATTCCTAAGAAGAGATGAGTCTATCAGAGTTAGTCATCTGACTTGTCAAGGCTGTTACTGTGTACATGTTCTTCTGGTTCTGCTTCCTTCAGTCAGCATCAGTTCATAGGTTTTTCTGAAGTCTGCCTGCTCATCAGTTCTTTTTTTTTTTAATTTATTTTTAGTTTTCAATATTCACTTCCATAAGCTTTTGAGTTCTAAGTTTTCTCTGCCTTCCTCCCCAAGATGGCTTGTAATCTGATACAGGCTCTACTTATACATTCTTATTAAACATTTTCACATTAGTCATGTTGTAAAGGTTAATTAGAACCAATAGGAGGAACCACAAGAAAGAAGAAACAAAACAAAAGAAAAAAGAAGAGCTAATAGTATGCTATTAATAATAAAGCTAATAGTATGCTTCTATCTTCATTCAAACTCCATAGTTATTTCTTTGGATGTGGATAGCATTTTCCATCTTGAGACTTTTGGAGATGTCTTAGATCCTTGCATTGCTGAGCAGAGCTAAGTCTTCAAAGTTAGTCATTGCACAACGTGGCTGTTACTGTGTACAGTATTCTCCTGGTTCTGCTCATTTCACTCAGCATCAATCTATACAAGTCTTTCCAGGTTTTTCTCAAGTCTGATTGCTCATCATTTCTTAAAGCACAATAGTATTCTGTTACATTCATATACTACAACTTGTTCGGCCATTCCCCAATTGATTTGCATCCCCTCAATTTCCAATTCTTGGCCACCACAAAAAGAGCTGCTATAAATATTTTTGTACATGTGGATCCTTTTCCCATTTGTATGATCTCTTTGGGATATAGAACTAGAAGTGGTATTGCTGGGTCAAAGGATGTGCACAGTTTTATAGCCCTTTGTGCATAGTTCCAAATTGCTCTCCAGAATGGTTGGATCAGTTCACAACTCCACCAACAATGCATTAGTGTTCCAATTTTCCCACATCTTCAGCATTTATCATTTTCCTGTCTTATCATGTTAGCCATTCTGGTAGGTGTGGTGTACCTCAGAGTTGTTTTGATTTGCATTTCTCTAATCAATAATGATTTAGAGCATTTTTTTATATGATTATAGATAACTTTAATTTCTTCATCTGAAAACTGCCTGTTCATATCCTTTGACCATTTATCAACTGGGGAATGACTTGTAAGGAATTATTTTCCTTAGTGAGCTTTTGTATCTCCTTTTCCATTTGGCGGATTCTACTTTTTAAGGAGTTCTTTTCTTCAGTAAATTTTTGTATATCTTTTTCCATTTGGCCAACTCTGCTTTTCAAGGTATTCTCTTTATTGAATTTTGTGCCTCTTTTACCATTTGGCCTATTCTGTTATTTAACATGTTATTTCCTTCAGTATTTTCTTGCACCATCTTTACCAAACTGTTGACTCCTTTTTCATGATTTTCTTGCATCATTCACATTTTTCTTCCCAATTTTTCCTCAACCTCTCTTATTGGAAAATTGTTTCACCCTGTCCTTTTGTGGGCTCTACCCCTACAAAATTTGTTTTGGGCATTTTTTAAAGTTTGGAAGGGTTTGGGGACAGCTTGGGTGAATCTCTGCCTTTTCTCCACCATCTTGGTTCTGCCTCCTAGAAGGAAAATTTTTATAGAAAAAAAATAATTTTTTATCTAATCAGCACTGAGAAAACACTTAAGGGGGGAATGAAGTTAATTATTTGCCAAAATTAAAGTTTTTGTAGTTGAATATTTAAGATGGATAATGCCGTCTTTCTTTTGATTAGCCTACTCACAGAAATCTGAGCCACAGGAGTTTATAAGGAAATCCAGAAAAAGCAGTTAGCAAGTACAAAAAGATATGAAAACAAAAGCTTCTAGAATCAGAAAGTTTTCCAAGTAGAAATTAAGAAATGTTTAGTAATGTCAGTACAGAAAGAAAACTTACTTGGCAACAAGTGTACAAATTTTGAATAGTTGGGGAAATAAAAGAATGTATTCTTGGATCCACCGCCTTTGTACTTTGGTGGGGCTGGTCTTGTGATTTCATCAGTGTAGGGAGCTCCTGGCAGGAAATTCCTTCTGCCAAAGGAGATTGTCCCTAGCTCTGCAACTGAGAGAAGTGGTGATATGTTGGAGGAGATGGGACAGAATGGTATCACTTGAGCAAGTAGAGGTGTTAGCTTTGGTAAGGAATAAACCTACTTCATCATGTGAGACAGAGGTGAAGGAAGAGATAGTGGCAGAAGGCACCTGAGTGATAGGAATGAGGAAGAGGAGAGAAGAGGGAGCTCATGATGAATGCCCTCAATTTTTTCTGTAAAATATGATGCAGGGCTCTCACCTGAGATTGTGGGAAGACAGGAGCAACTGAGAGTCTCACAAAGTTGCTGGTGGCCCTGAGAAGTTCAGTGACTTACTCATGATCACAATCATATAGACAGTTTGTGAGACTTGAACCCAAGTCTTCCTGACTCCAAGGTCAGGCTCTCATGAAAGCAGACTAGAATTTCTTTATTCTTTAGATGGTCTTTGTATGTTCCTTTTGATAAAAAATTCATCATTTTATTACCAACCTGATGATTAGCATCTCTAAACTTACTTAGCCTGGTCTCCAGGCAACAGACATGTCTATCACTGAGGTCATACTTGATAAATGCTTGTTGATATAATTTAGCAAAAGGAACATACAAAGACTCTATTTACTTTCCAATTCTCTCTTCCCTTAACCTTATTCTTTGTTTACAACATGACCTCTAATCCCTCAACCCCTCAATTCTCTCCCAAGCCATCACCTCTGCATTAGCCACTCTCTTTTCTTTTCCCCATCTTGACCCCTTGGAGAACCAGTTCAACTTTATACTGTCTTCTTCTCTTGAGTCTCTAGCCCCTTCCGTTTTGCTCTACCAGGATTACTCTCACTGTCTGCTGCTGCTGAATGAAGGTGGAGAAAATCACTTAACCATTTTGACAGGGTCCACTACAAATTTATATTACACAACCTTAACTGGACCTTTACTGCTGCTGGGCAATCTTATACCTCCCTTATCAACTCACTATCCCACTCTCCACAGAGACTTTCATCCCTTTGTTTTCATCTTTCCTCAAACCTCTCATGGTTCCCCTCCTTTTACTCTCCCAGCTAAGCACCTTACATCATATTTTGCAGAAAAAATTGAGGACGTTCACTGTGAGCTGCTTCTTCCTCATCTCCTGTCACTCAGGTGCCACTTTTGCTACTATCTCTTTCTTCACCTCTGTCTCACATGATGACGTGGGTTTACTGCTTACCAAAGCTAACACCTCTACTTGTTCAAGTGATACCATTCCATCCCATCTCCTCCGGCAGATGGTCACCTCTCTCATTTCAGTCTCTGTCTATTGACTAATTCTCTGCTGCCTACAAACATGCTCATGTCTCCTCCACCCTGAAAAAACCCTCACTTGGTCCCTATATCTCTGCTGACCTCCAATCTTGCATCTCCAGTTGTCTTTCAGACATCTCAAACTGGATGGTTCAGTAGGCATCTTAAAGTTAGCCTTCCAAAACTGAACTCGTTATCTTTCCCTTTACTACCTTTCCTATTTCTGTAGAGGACAATACTGTCCTCCTAGTTCCTCAGGCTTGCAACCTAGATGTCATCCTCCACTTCTCACTATCACTGACTCCTCATATACAATCTGTTGCCAAGGCCTTTGCAACAAACTCTCAAATACATCTTCTTCTCTCCTCTGACAATGCCACCCCCCTAGTGTAGATCCTCATCACCTCATGTCTGGACTATTAATAACCTGCTGGGGTCTCTTCCCATTCCAGTCTATTCTCCATTCAGCCACCCAAGTGATTTTCCTAAAGCTCAGGTTTGACCATGTCCCCATTCCATGCCTCCTCCCTTCCCTCCATTCAGTAAACTCAAATGGCTCCTTATCATCTCCAGGATCAAATATATAATCTTGTTTGGTACTCAGAGTCCTTCATAATAACCTTGCCTCTTCCTAATCTTTTTATACCTTATTTCTCTCCGAGTACTTTTGGATCCACTGATACTAGTTTGCTTCCTTGTTGTTCCACAAAGGACACACTCCATCTTTTGGCCCCAGGCATTTTCTTTTGCTGTCCCCCATGCCTCAAATGCTCTCCCTCCATTGACTTCCCTGGCTTCCTTCCCAAATAAAATCCCATTTGTTTACTGAAAGGCTTCCCAAACCACTCTTAATTCTAGTGCCTTCCCTGTATTAATTATTTCCTCTTTATCCTGCATATAGGGTTTTTTTTTTTAACTTATTTACATGTCATCCCATTAGACTGTAAGCTCCTTTAGGGCAGGGACAGCCTTTTGCCTTTCTTTCTATCCCCGGCACTTAGCACGGTGCCCAGTCCATGTTTATTGACTGACTGAGATGAGGAATGAGAGTTCCAGATGTGGGAGACAGCCAAAAATGCACAGAGTTGGGGGATGGAATGTCTTTTTCAAGCTACAGCAAGAAGGCCATATTCTTTTCTATAGATTTTGCTGTGAAACACCCATGATTACTTCTTAATTGAAAATTTTTAAGTGACATTTCATTTAAAAGGTATCTTAGTTTTCCTTTATTTTCTTTAGTTGAAGATTTTCCTTTGGTCTCCATCTCCCAACCTTGTTAATCACCTTTTAAAAACAAATCTCTCTAAATGCACTATATAATATGAACATTAAAAATAAATAAATAAACAACTGAGTTGCTGGCTTACAGTCAGCCGTGCAAATGGTTTTCTAATCTCATGTTATAATCATTTCATAGTGAGCATTTTGTTATAACCATTTCAATTTCCCCTACTTCTTTTGCTCTGTAGAACTTACAGTGGGACATGTTATTAAACTAGACATTGAAGGATCTCCAAGAAGAGCCTGGGGAAAAAGTCCAACAGATTCTGTTCTTAAGATTCTTGGAGAAGCTGAACTACAACTTCAGACACAATGTTTGGATGAGATAACCCTTAAAAATGGTAAAATGGAACTAAATATTTTTAAGTGAATGTTTAATATTGGTAAAAACATAAACGTGACTAAGACTGTATCATTTACAAAAAGGCTTTTAATATCAGTTTTCTCTTCAGGTGGTAAAAGTGATTGTGATTTTATCTTAACCTAGGAGGTTAAATACATGTGAGGATATCTGTGATCCAATAAGAAAAGGAAATGAAAAAAGTAAAATGAAGTCTGAAAAGTCATGTCATAGGATAGAATTTGTTGGCAAAACAAGTTTTGTTTTTGTTTTTTTAAAATAAGAAATGTGCTGTCTGCTAGTGGTTTGGGTAGTAGGTTTATTACTAGTTGATAGAGTGTAACAGATAATATCTTAGAACCATGGTTTATCATGTTTTTCAAGATGCATTTGTAAAATATGGTAATTCTGGTTTTACAGTGCTGTATTTATAGTAAGGATGACCTGGATTCTGGGATCCTATAGTAAGGATGATCCTGTCTCTGACATTTAGCTAAGCTGTGTGACCATGGGCAACTCACTTAACTTCTCTGAGCATTGATTTATTCATTTGTAAAATGAAGGTAACACCTCACAGAGTTATTGTGAAGTTGAAATAAGATAATGTATGCAAAAGGATTTGCAAAGTTGAAAATTTTATAAATGAGAGTTATTATTACTAATAAATAGAGAATTGTAGTTGCAAGTAGTGCATATAAGTCAGTAAAAGGAAGTATGCCCAAGTTTTCAGAGCTTCTCACAGCTAGATGAAGAACTCAGTTCAGTGCATCAGTTTAGATACCAACTATGTGTCTGGCACTAAAATAGGCAAATATTAAATACCTGCAAAAATAAAAATAATCCCCCTCTATTGGAGGGAAACAATGCAAACACCAGTTATTCAGTAGAGAATATACACAAGGTGATTTTTGGACAGGGTGGGAATGCTAACAGTCTGTTCACACAGAGTGGTCTTCAATAAAACCAGGATCCCCTATGCCATGCTTGAATAATTTGCTTGTACTCATTTTATTGGAGAAATTTTATTATTTTTTCTAGAATATATTAGAAAAACTAAAACCCATGTAAATTTTAAAAAACCCAACTCTACACTATCCATTATTTGAAATAAATGAAAGCATAGCAAAATATTATACATACACATAAAGGTAATTGATTCTGCCTACTTGAATCAGAATCAGTGGGTTTTCTTTATCTCTTTTTAAAATATATATAGTTTTATTTTCCAATTAAATTTTTAAAATTTTTTAATATTCTGTTCTTCAGATTTTAAGTTCCCTATTCTCTCTTGCCCCCCAGTCCCTACCCCACCCCTTGAGAAGGCAAGGAATATAATATTGATTGTACTCGTGAAGTCATGCAAAACATATTTTCATATTAGCAGTGTCTCAGAAAAGAAAACACATATGCACGTGTACACACACATGTGAAAAATAAAGTGAAAAAGTATGCTTCAATCTGTACCCAAGTTCATCAGTTCATTCTCTCTGGAGATGGATAGCATTTTTCATCATGGGACTTTGGAATTGTTTTGGATCATTGTATTAATCAAAGTAGCTAAGTTTTTTACAGTTGATAATCCTTGGAATATTGCTGTTACTGTGTACAGTAGTTTCCTGATTCTGCTCACTTCCCTCTGCATCAATTCATGTAATACTTCTGGGTTTTTCTGAAAACATTCTGTTCGGCATTTCTTATAACACAGTAGTATTCCATCACAATCATGTACCACAAATTGCCCAGCTATTCCCTAATTGATGGGCATCCTTTCAATTTCCAGTTCTTTGCCACCACAAAAAGAGATGCTATAAATATTTTTGTACATGTAGGTCCTTTTTCTTTGGAATCAGACCTAGGAGTGGTATTGCTGAGTCAAAGGGAATGCAGTTTGTCCTTTGGGTATAATTCCAAATTGTTCTCCATAATGGTTGAACTAGCTCACAGCTCCACTGGCAGTGCTTCAGTGTCTCATTTTTTCCAAATTCCCTCCAGCATTTATCATTTCTAATAGTTGTGAGTTAGTGCCTCCAAGTTACTTTAATTTACATTTTTGTAATCAATAAACATTTAGAGCACTTTTTCATATGACTATTGATAGTTTTGATTTCTTCTTCTGAAAACTGCCTGTTTGACCACTTATCAATTGGAAATGATAACTTAGTTGAACTCACATGTCCCCTCTTAATGAAAATTTTACCTTAATTATTTAGAACCTTAGTTTCCTCAACTATAAAATGGGAATAATATCGATAGCACCACCACACAGAATTGTTGTTGAGCCCAAATGAGAGAATATAAGTAAAATACTTTGCAAACTTTATAAACATTATATAAGCATCAGTTATCTATCAATCAGATTTTCTTCCCTTGCTTTTAGCCTACCCTATGACCGAAGGCATATAAAGTTTTCCTTGATTTGTGAAGCATTTTTTCTGTGGTGTTCAAACCTCAAACAGGCAACTTTCAAGCACAGATCTTCTAATTAGTCTCCAAAATTTGCTATAAGAGGTTAACTAAGATATTCCTAGATATTATTTTTCAGAAAATCTTAGGAAGGGGGGAAGCATACTTTCCCTCTCCACATTCTAACATATGCCTTAGCTATTTTTTGTGCAATTCAAGTACAATTGATGGTATTTCTACAAATTAACTACTTCACTAAGAATTATACAACCTGGAACATATGAAGTATTATACTAGAGTCTAGTCAGGATAACCTATTATTAGCAGCACCTTTTAAAAACTCTAAAACATGATTAGAAATAAAATTCAAGACTTTTATAAAACATTTTTTCATGGCGGGGGGTGTTTCCACAGAAGCCTGTGAAGGAAAAAACTCCAAAACCTTAGCCATGGAGAAAAAAGAAGTACAGTTTGTTCCTGTTGATATAGATCCTTCACCTGTAGTTAATAAAGCTGATATCAAAGCCTCTCAAGAGCTGAAACTTAAGGAAGCAGATGAATTTTTACAAATGGCATTAAAACCAGTTATGATGGAAGAAAAATTAGAAGGTATGGTTCCTAATTGTTTTTTGTTTTTGATCTAGATCTTTCAGTGAATGAACAAGCATTTGTTAAGCGCTTACTATGTGACAAGCACTTTTTCCTAAGCCCTAGAAGGACAGATATAAGTAAAAAATAAAATAATCCCTGCCCTCAAGGAGCTTATAGTAAGGGAATAATATAATTTCCTCTAATAAGGGAAGACAGGACATAAAAGGAAGGTAAAAAGAGAATGGAGAGGAGGAAGGTATTCAGCTCGGCACAGTGGAGATCCTGAAGAGGAATGAGACATGGTGGGGCCTGAGTTCTTTCTTAAATGGATGTTCTGGGAAGAACCATCCAATTAGAAGGAGAGACCACAGGGGCAGAGGGTCCTTCCAATGTGTAAATTCCAAAGATGGAGGGATCTTAAAAGATGAAAAAGTTTCTGCATCTGTAATTTCACATATGGAGCTCCCAGTGAGGAAACTCCTTCTACCAGTACAGATTGGAGATTAGTGATTTGTAGTCTTAGAGATACCTGGTATCTTAGAGTTGAAGTGCCTTGTTCAGGATCATCCAATCAGTACATGTCAGAGATGGGACTTGAACTTGGGTCTTCCTGATGTTGAGACTGATTTTCTAGCTTCTATACCACACTCCCTCTCATGGATGCTAAGTATTCTTAAATAAACTAAGATTTAACTTAATCAAAGTTAAGTTCCATGTTCAGAAAGACCTGAATATGTTAAGTATAAAAATTCATGATTAAAATTTTATACAAGTGAAGAAATTCTAAGTTTTGGTTCCCAAAATAACATGTTGTGTTCTGTGGTGTTCGGGATTTCAATAGAACTAGGCATTTTTTCCTTCATAGTCTGTATGATCTTGTGGTCACATTTATGGCCAACATTTATGTTCAAACATGTTGTTGGAACCATAACCCTGAATTGCCTGATTCTAGCATTTATGGAATTGCCAACCACAATATTTTTATGATCATTGTTTATTGTTTTTTTATTTCTTTGTAAGAAGTGATTATGAAATAAGGACAAGACTTTCAAACTTAGACATTTTTCACTTTTCTGAATGTGCATATCTGCAAAGACACTTGGTATATGATATAGATAATGAAATAATGTCTACATCAAGCCATAGCACTATAATTCCTTAAGCAAGATTTCATAGGTTAAACCATAGAAATTTACTTCTTTTACTGTAACAAAATGGCTTGAATTTTTTTTATATAAATGGTAATGTAATTCAAGAATAAAACTTTATATTATGGTAGGCAAACTTTCCATTTGCTCAAATTGTTCTGGTTATATTAAAACAAGGCTATATTCCCTAGTGTTTAGAGAACAACTCAATCAGGGACATAGTTTACTTCATTCTTATCATTCATTTGTTTATTCTATGACCATTGATCAGGCCCTGATATGTGCATATTGTTATTTTGCCCTAACCTTCTTTTAAGTTACCTCTCTACTTTTTTTATGGCTGCCTCTTTTTTTTTTTTTTTCCAACCTTACTTCATTTCAGAAATACATATAATTTTTATGGCTACTTTTTTTTTTCAAACTTCATTTCACAATTACATATAATTTCACTTTTAAGTTTCTCAACTATTTTGCATTTCTATACTTTCGTTATATTCTCATGACATTATAGGACTATATACAGAAAAAACTCTATTATAAAAATGGTAAATGTGTGAGAGAATTCCAAACCAAATGTATTATGAGGTCTATATCATTTCTGTCCAGCTCAGTCACAGAAGACTTTTTGGAGGAAGTGACATTTGAGTTGAACTTTAAAGAGTGAGTAAGAATTTAACAGGTTAGAGGAGGACATTCAGGATGTGGAGCTGTCCAAAATAAAAGTTATGATTTATTGTTTTAGGTTTGAACATAGGATTGTGGTAGAAAGGAATCCTGCTAGTTATTGAAATGGCATGGTCGAGAAAGTAATAAGTAAAAAGAGAAAGTAAAGAAATGAGTATTGGAAGTATCAGAACGTTTATATCTAGCTTTAAAAGATACTGCCTGGGCAAGGTTTTAAGAAAGGAAATAGAAAATTTATTGGCAGGGAATAACTACTAATAGCACTTGGGTGGACCGGAAATTAAAAGGAAGGAGTTCTAAGTAATTTTATGGGACTTAATACCTCATCTGTGGGGGAGAGTAAAAGAAATAGTGAAGTTTGATAATTGTAGAGAAAAAGAAAAACCAGTAATTTTGAATAGAGGACATATAATGTCCAACGATAGTAGTTAAATCAATCAAAGAAGTAAAAAATTAGTAGCTCATTGATTTTTGTCTGCTTATTTCTGTCTCTCTAAGGATAATCAGTTAAATTCCTTGGAATCTACATACTTCACAGAATTACAAAATTTGAGAATTAGAAGGAACCTCAGTAGCTGTCTAATCTAACTCATACACTAAAGAAATCCCCGTGTTAGTGTGTCCAACAAGTGATCATCCAGCTTCAGTTTGAAGATCTTCAGGAGGCAATAGGGGGAGGGGAGACCATCTTTTTAAGTAGCCCATTCCAATTATGGACCATGCTAATTTTAGGATATTTTTCTTGATTTGCAAGAATAAGGGGCCAAATGTAATGAGTCTGGTCCCTCCTCCATGTAATAGCCCTGTAAATATTTGAAGACAGATGTCATATTTCTCCTCACCCCAACCTCCTCTAATCCCTTACCCTGACTCCAAGTCTTCTACAGACTAAACATGTCCAGTTTCTTCAATCTTTATGTGACATGGACTCAATATTCTTCACCATCCTAGTTGCGCTTTTCTAGATACTTTCCAGCTTATTAGCTTCTTATCCTTCTTAAACTATGACGCCCAAAACTGGACACAGTACTCCAAATGAGGTCTAACAAGGGCAGAATACAGTAAAGCTATCATCTTCCTGTTTCTGGAAGTATGTTCCTTAAAGCAGCCCAAGACTGCATTAGTTTTTCTGGCTACTACATTATTACATATTGAGTTTGCAGTCCATCAAACTCTCATTTCTTTTTTTTTTTCTTTTTGGTGAGGCCATCAGGGTTAAGTGACTAGCCACCCAGCTAGTCAGTTTTATATGTGTCTGAGACTGGATTTGAACTCAGGTCCTCCTGAATCCAAGGACGGCGCTCTATCCACTGCACCACCTAACTGCCCTTACCAATTTCTTTTTAAGAACAGTTTCTGTCTCTCAATGCCTCTCTATCCTGTACTTGTAGAGTTGATTTTTTTTGTACACAAATGTAAGACTATCTAATTAACCTTACTGAATTTCATCTTATCAGAGTTAGAATATCAAGATCCTTCTGGATACTGACTCTGTTATTTGCTATATTAGCTACCCCCTCCCACCCTTGTCATATGAAAATTTTATGAGAATAGGCTGTTTATCCAAGTCACTGAGAAAAATGTTAAACATTACAGGGCCAAGTACAGATCTCTGAGATACTATACTGGATCTCTTGCCACAATGATATTGAACAACTAACAACTACTCTAGTCCAGCCATCCAACCAGTTCTGAATCCATCTGATTTTATCATTGTCTATCTATCAGTTATTTATCATTTATTGAGCATTTATTTTGTATCAAACAGTTAGCACAGTACTTACAAACACAAGTAAAAAGAAAAGCAGCCCATGTTGTCAAGAAGCTTATATTCTAAAAAATGGAAGACATCACTTAAAAGGAAGCTGGAAAGTGAGCGTAAGGGGATATAATGTAGGAAGTGTGCTGGCATTCTGGAAAGGAATGGAACGTGACTGGCCTGAGTCCCCTCTTTAGATAGAGGTTCTGTGAGGAGGCATCCAGTCAGGAGAGACCACAGGGGCATCAGGTAATTCCAGTGTGTTTAGTACATATGTTTCTGTCTTTTCCACAAGAATAATAGCTAATTAATCAAAAGCTTTGATAAAATCTAGATTAAATTATACAGTATTATACAGTAGATGAAGTATACAGTATTCCCCTGATCCACCAGTTTAGTAATCCTGTCCAAAGAGGAAATGAGGTTGGTCCGGCATGACCTGTTCTTGATAATGCCATGCCGTACAGTCAAGCTCCCTGATGTATTCACTTTCCTTTTTGGAAAGTCAAGATATATGCCCTTCTCCAGTCACATTGTACCTCTTCTGTTTCCCATGATCATTCAGATATCACTGGTAATTAGGTCAACCAGTTCTTTTATAAGTCATTTGGATCAGGTGACATGAATTACTCTCTCATTTTTCTTGGGTGCCAACTCCCCATTAGCCATTTTCATTCTGTCATTTCTAGTGCGAAGATCATTCTTCTTTGTAAAGAAAACAAACTATATTAGAGTCAGCTATCTCTGCCTTCTCTCTGTTATCAATTATCATCGTCTCATCCACTAGTAGCAAAAATTCTATCCTTTCTTTGCTCTTTTTTTTCTTCCAATATAGCTCAAACAAATTTAAAAACCCAAACAAACCCTATCTGTTGTCCAGAGCTTCCCTTGCTAGCCTCATATCATTCTGAGCTTTTAGCATTCTTTACTCTACGTGAATGCCATGCCATATTTTTCCTGTTACACGACCTTACTTCTAACTTCTCTGTGTATCTTTTTTTAATCTAAATTGGTGAATTCCACGTGCATTTTTTCATAAAAATTCCATGTTTATTTTGTCAGAATTGATTCCCTTTGTGTCTTACGAATTTTATTCTTGAAGTGTTTTCCATCTTTCTTGGGCTAACTTCCCATGTAACATTTTATTCCGTGGCACTATCTATCTTTCCTCTGAATTTTTTGTAAATCTACTTTCATCAAATCTCGGGTGCATGTCAGATTTTGCCTGTGTTTTTTCTGGTCTTTGTCACAAACTTCAGGATGGAGAATTATCACTTCCCTCCAAGATTCTCATTGTTTTCTCTCAAGTTCCTTTCTGTTAATAAAAATTAGAGTGAGAATAGAATTTCCCTTGAGGATTCGTTTGCCTTTTGAAGTGTATAAAATTATTACCACAAGTAAAGAAGTTATTAACTGCTCTGCTTTTG